ATGAGCTGTTTTCTTGAAACTCTTAGTCAGTGGTTTTAGGGAAGAAGTTGGTCGAGTTCAGAAGGTTTGACAGGGATGGCTTTAGGGAGTAAGGTACTTGTTGGCAGAAAGTAAAATATAAGAGAGTGTAGCCCTTGGGGGAGCCCAGTCTCAACCTGTCCAGGTTTTCCCTTTGAGTCACTGTGTCCTCAGCTCCACCAGAGTCAGGGCCCTCGAGACACTGCCATTCGGACCCGGCCATGCAAACCAGAGAGAGCCCCACCGTGCTGCTCCGCACTCCCTTCGTCCTGGGGTGGGCGGGGAACTGGCTCCTATCGTTTTTAAAGAACAAAAATAGTTTATAGATGACTCATTAAGAGTTCTGCTTTGAGCCAGGACAATTGTCAACAAAAGCTGCCTCAAAGTGGTCATATCTTTAGAGCAGAGGTGGGGAATGTCCGGCCCGCGGGCCGTATAAGGCCCAGCAATCATTTGGTCTGGCCCTGCCAAGGCAACCACAGATGGGACTCTAATAAATGTAGGAGCTTTTTTCAAAGCAGCAGGAATGTATATTAAGTGAATTGTATTAAGCGAGTGACGTTATAAATCCCAAATGGCCCTGGGCAGCAAAGGTCCCCCTCCTGCTCCGGGGGCTCTTCCCTACCCCCAAACTTCCACCCTCTGTGCTGTCCAGAGACTTAGCTCGAAACGCTTTATATTTTGCTTTACCTTAGCATTTAAACATGTTTCCAAGCTTCTTTTGGATGTAAGTATTTATTCCCCCCTGGGTTCAGGTTGGCACCACATGCCTGAAACATGTTTGGGTTTTTAGGAATTGACTTCACAAGCTGGCGCTGGCGGTGCTGTGCCTGAGGCCTGAGGCTGTTGGACTTCATGAATGTTTAGGGCCTGCCCCCTGGTTCGGGCGGCGGTGCCACCTGACTGAGTTTTCTGCCCAGCATCTCAACCTCTTTCAGAAAAAGGTGGAGACAGACAGAAAGCAAAGTGCAATGTTCTGGGGTGTTCCCCGCCCCGTGCGGGCTGTGCCAGCGCTCTCCGCTTATTTCATTTTTCTCTCCTTCTTTCAGCTCGTCACACATTTTGGGTCATTTTTAAAAAATTCCCGGCCCTGCTTTCGTCATCCTATTCCTCTGTGGTTTTACACTGAGTGTGGAGAAACATAGTTATTTGACAAAAACAAAACAACAATAAACAAGGATAAAATTGTAACTCAAATACTTGGAACAAGCTGCCCTAACATTTCTTTCTTGCAGTAAGAAGGTCCACTCGGATTCAAGCAGGAATGTAGAATGCCTGTAACTCAAAGACATTTAAGGAAAGTGGGCCAGGCACACAGTGTTTGGTGCAAACCTCTGCAAACAAATCCTTTTTCCTCGGGCTCTGCGAAGGCTGACGGCTTCCCACTCGGGGTTGGGCTGCAGCCTTTCGGGGGCTTTGATTATTGAAAACAATCGCTGCCACCTGTTTGTGGTTATTGTCTGAGGCCACTTCCTGGAAAGGTCACAGGAAAGCTGCTATTTTGCCAAAGTCCACAGAGAGAAACCAAGGCAATTCTCTGGGCGGGGGGCCTGGGCGGAGGGGGCCTGGGCGGAGGGGGTCTGGGCGGAGAGAGGGGGAGTGGCTGCCGCACGCGGGCATTGGAGAGTGTTGTTTGATTGGGACAGGGTCCTTGTTGAAACACCTCTACTTCTAACCCTGGCCAGATGTGTGATCGTGAGAAGAGGGTTAACGGCCAACTCACTTCCCGCACCTGAGAAAGGGCTAGGACTAGACCTCCCAGGTTCCCAGCTCTGTCGCTCTGTGGAGCCTGAGCTAGCAGCTGCCCTGAATGGATGCAGCCTGACTTTCTGGTGGAAAAATGCGTTTAAACATGGTTACAAATCCTCACATAGTCCCAGCCAAGCCTGAACCTGCACTTGGGGGAGGGGTGCTTTCCTCGAAGAGGCGGCTGCACAGCTCCTCCTGCCTGTCAATCATCAGACACCACTGAGCACCCGTGCCCGGCAGGGCTTCTTACCCCGTCCTTTTCCTGAACTCTGAGAGGCTAACACACAGGGGCTAGGTTTGCTGTGCAGGACAGAAACCTGAGCATGTAAAGGCAGGCAGGCTGGGCGGGGCAGCTCCACGAAGCCACCCTCCTCTGTTGCACCCCATCACTCTCAACAAGGGGTCCGCAGCTGTGGCCCAAGGTGGTGCTGCAAGCCAGCTCTCCCCTGGCCGAGGCCACGGGAGGGAAGAGTGGTGGAGACTTTCAAGTAGACTTCCAGGTGGACCATCCATGTCCACTTGCATTTTATTGACCCTGATTTTGTCATGTTGCCACTCCCAGTTGCAAGGGAGGATGGGAAATGCAGTCTTTGTGTGGGATGGTGATTTGTTTGGTTGAGTCTGGCAGTTGTTATTGGGGAAGCAGGGAGGACAGATGGAGGAGGAAACTATGGCACCTGCCACAGAAGCTTCTTTTTGAAGTGTGAGGGCTGTGGGTTTAAACTCCATCCCCTATTTACTAGCTGTCAGGTGTTGGCCAAGACACGGAACCTCTTTAACCTCTTCTACTATATGATCTGTGAAACTGGCATACTGTTCCCAGCACGGGTAAACAGGAGAAGAAACGCTGTGTTTAGCACAACAGCTGTCACTGTTACACCAGTCCCTGTATCAACATTCGGACTTCACTCACTTACTAGTGTCAGGGTGCGTAGTGCTGGTTACACCTGGTGCGTGGAGGTCCTGCCCCTTTCATATCCTTCCCAGGGACCCAGTGAGCCGGGCTGAGGCCTGCGCAGCTGGGGACACGGCACGCTAACGAGTGTCCGGAGGCACAGGCAGCTTGGTCAGTGCTGATAGGACCTTTTTGGTAACCAGGTGGCCTGATGAGCCAGAGGGTGCGATAGAGGTAAAGTTAAGGAATATTAACTTCCAGAAACATGCAGAGGATGGGCCTATGCAGCATAGGAAGAGCTTAGGGGAGACAGCCCGGGCAGACACCCAGCTAAGGGGAGACTCTCTGCCACCTTAATCACTGCTCCTCATCATGGAGTGGGGTTCAAGCCGCAGCTCTGAGGCCGTGCCTCTGCTGGGCCTCCCTGCCGAGGGAGGCTCCTGGAGCGCAGGGCCACTCCGCAGGGTCAGCCCTGCCCGGGACATCAGGAGCCATCTGGGTGTGCTGTGAGCCACTGAGAATCCCATCTGCTCCAGGGGAATCCCAAACTCCTTCCAGGAAATGGGGGATGAGTGGTGGTAGGGGTTGGTTCTGGATTTACTCATCACTCCCAACTTCCTATTAGACTCTTAGTCATCACTATTGCCTGGTACTTTCTGGGCCTGGGCATTGTGTAGGCCATGAAGGCTATGATGGAGACCGGTCCTCGGTCCTCAAGGCTGTCCCTACCCACGGGGGGGGACAGACAAGAAGCAGGTATGGCCGTTGGCATGGCTGCTCCCATTTCTTTCCCCTTCTGGTGCAACTTTGCAACTCCTCCCACTGGAGGTGGGGCCATTTCCCCGCCCCTGTAATGGCAGGTTTGGCCATGTGACTTGCTTTGACCAATGGAATGTGGGCAGACAAGAGTGAGCCAGTCCTGAGCAAAGCTGTGAGTGCGTTTGCTCACTTTGCTTGTGTTTTGCTATCACATGAGATCATCTCCCAGGAGACACTTGTCCAAGGAGGGTGAGAGCCATCTGAAGCTTGGCGCCAAGCCTAACCTAGCCTAAACTAGGTCAGCCAAGCTCCATCGGACCCCAGACTTGTGAGCAAGAATAAATTATGCTGCTTTAGGCCATTCAGTTTTGGGTGGTTTGTTAGCAGAGTTGTGGCAATGGCTCTCCGAAATAACAGACATTGTGATACAGAGTGGGAGGGGCTACAGGGAACGACAGAGGCATTTGATCATCTTGGAGACATTTATGGGGAGGAGGAGGGTTTCACAAACTTGGTACATTATTCAGTTTTGGGGCCTCATTTTGCTTTTCCCCTGGATGCCCTACATCAGAGACTTAGCAATGAATAGACCCCCTCAGCGCTTGTCAGATTGTATGTAATATAAAAGTTAAACCATATGGAGGAAGCCTATAAGGACTACAGAAAACGTTCTCTGACAAGTAAAATGAGGACCTTTTGACTTGTAGTGATTCATTCACTCATTTAAAAAAAAATCATTAGCCCTGGCTGGTTTGGCTCAGTGAATAAAGCATTGGCCTGCGGACTGAAGAGTCCCAGGTTCAATTCCAGCCAAGGACACATGCCTGAGTTGTGAGCTCGATCCCCAGTGTGGGGTGAGCAGGAGGCAGCCAATCAATGATTCTCTCTCATCATTGATGTTTCTATCTCTCTCTCCCTCTCCCTCTCCCTTCCTCTCTGAAATCAATAAAAATATATTTGAAAAAACCTTTATTGTTGAAAGTATTGCACATGTCCCCTTGTCCCCCCATTGACTGATTCTAGCCCCCCTGATCCCCCCCCAGCCTTCACCACTATTCGCTCATTTAGTCATTCAACAAATGGAAGGGATATAACTGTGAATAAGATAAAGTAGGATCCTTGTGCACGTACAGCTTACCTTTGAGAGAGGGGAGAGGGACCATGAGTGTCCTAGAGAGTAACAGAGCAGGAAGCACAGCATGGAGCATTGGGGCAGGAGGTGGTGTCCATTCATACGGGAGGTCAGGAAGACCCCACCAGGAGCAAGATCTGAGCAAAGACCTGGAAGAGGAGAGGCCCCTGAGCATCTTGGGCGGGCAGGGAGGGCAGGGGACTCTGGGAGAGACACTAGGGTATGGAAGGTCCAGCCCAAGGTCATTCGGAGCATTGTGGGATTTGACATTACATGTGTTCAGTGAAGATAGCTCTAGAGGAGCAAATCTCCAAATTTTGAGTTTTCTTGTTAAAAAGTCTAGGCAAAAGGTTTCTCTTATTGGGTGAAGCTCCCAGCATCTGCCCTGGGAGCACCTTCTCCCTTTGGGTGTTGTGGCCCCTGGTGATCCTCTGTCTTCTCCTCTAGGCTACAAAGTGCAGGGCCACAGACCCGAAGCCCCTGGGCCTCTGGACGTTGCTGGAAATGATGCTCACCTTGTACCTGTTGATGATGGGTGTCTCCGCCTTCACCATTCAGCCTGAGGAACGCACGGGTAAGAAGGGACTCTCAGCTGGGAAGGGCTTGTCTGGGGAAGCAGGTGTTTATCTAGGGAGACTTTGCTGTTAGCAAAAAACAAGGTGTGGTTGCCAGAGGGGCGGATGTGGGGAGGGCAAAGTGGGTCAAAGGGGCCAAATACATAGTAAGGGAAGGAAACTAGATTTTGGGTGGTGAGCATGCAAATGAGCACACAGATATCAAGTTATAATGTCATATACCTGGAATGTATATAATGTTGCTAGTCAATGTTGCCTCAGTAAATCTAGTAAAACTAGAGGCCTGGTGCATGAATTTGTGCATGGGTGGGGTCCGGCCGGCCCGCACTGATCGGGGCAGATCTGGGGCAGGGCCGGTGGAGGGTGGGGGGAGGACCACCAGTGGTTGGCTGGCTGATCGGGGGCTGGAATAAGCTGGTTGGCTGCCACCGTGCTCGTCACAGCCACCAGTTGTTTCAGTCACTGGGCTTTTATATATATATACTAGAGGCCCGGTGCACGAAATTTGTGCATGGGAGGGGGGTGTCCCTTAGCCCCGGTGCACAAAATTTGTGCATGGGAGGGGGGTGTCCCTTAGCCCCGGTGCATGAAATTTGTGCATGGGATGGGGGTGTCCCTTAGCCCAGCCTGCACCCTCTGTAATCCGGGACCCCTTGGGGGTTGTCTGAATGCCTAAACTGGCAGTCGGACATCCCTCTTGCAATCTGGGACCACTGGCTCCTAAGCGCTCTCCTGCCTGCCGGCTGTATCCCCCTAACTGCTCTCCCCTGCTGGCCTGATCACCCCTAACTGCCTGTGCCTTGGCCCCGCCACCATGGCTTAGTCTGGAAGGATGTCCAGTCTAATTAGCATATTACCCTTTTATTAGTATAGATAGAGGCCAGGTGCATGGGTGGGGGCTGGCTGGTCTGCCCTGAAAGGGGTCCCGGATCAGGGTGGGGGTCCCCTCGGGGGGTGGAGCCAGCCTGGGCAAGGGGCCTGGGGCAGTTGGCAAGCCAGCCACACCCCAATTGGGGTGGGGGGTCCCTGCTGGGGGATGGGAATGGCCTGGGCAAGGAGCTGCCGAGGGTTTGTAGGCTGGCCACACCCCAGTTGGGGTGAGGGTCCTCACTGGGGGCGGTGTCAGCCTGGGTGAGGGGCTGGGGCAGTTTTCAGTCTGGCCATGCCCCCATTGGAGTGTGGGGGGGTCTCTGCTGGGGGCGGGGACTGAGGGCCGTTTGCAGGCTGGCCATGGCCCCACTGGGGGGTAGAGGTCCCTGCTGAGGGTGGGGCAGCCTGGGCTGGGGGCTTGGGTGGCCTGGGTGAGGGCCTGGGGGTGGTTTGCAGGCCGGCCAAGCCCCCGGCTTTGTCCAGAAGGACGTCCGGAAGGTCTCTGGAAGGTCTCCCGGTCTAATTAGCATATTACTCTTTTATTAGTATAGATAGATGTTACCTCGATAAATACAATAAAAAGAAAACAAATGCAATGCAAGGACAATCTTGGTGCTCCTCTGAGCAGCCTCATTCCTGCTGGACCCAGGGCCTTTGGGCTGTAACCACACCCCTGTGGGGACTAAGCTCAGTTTTGTGTCTGAACTCAGCTAAGAGCCACTTTAAAAATAAGGAGTGGCCAAGTGAAAAACCTGGCAAACATTTTCATCTTTATTTTTTGTCACCATTATTTTTTGTGAACCTGATTTAACTTTCCCCATAAAATCGGAATGAATAGTAAACCTGAAGTTGCCATTTGAGAGCTTTGAAACCATTATAACAAGAGGGTGAGAGGGCCCAGAGGGCGCCTCACTGTCAGGGGGGCGCTGTGCCCTTGGGTACGCCACCGCGGGATAGCCACCAAGACTGATGGGTCTCTCTTCCTCCAGTGGCTGCAGGGAGCTGCCAGGACCGCGGCAAGCATTTTAAAACCAGTCTCAAGGTGGAAGGGGAGCCTGTGGTCCTGAGGTGCCCCCAGGCGCGGTACTGGCTGGGGGCCACTGCCAGTCCCCGCGGCACCGTGACCTGGCGCAAGAGCGGTTCTGCCGTGCCAGCCCCCGGGGAAGACGGGCGAGTGTGGGTCCAGGATGGTGACCTCTGGATCCTGCCCGCCCAGCGGGGCGACTCAGGCACCTACCTCTGCACTGTCAGGTAGGCCCCGGAACATGGTGGGCGGGGCTCTGTGCACATGCTCCAGTGGGGCCTGCATGCAGTCTGCTGTCCTCTCCATTGGTCTGAGATACCTCCATGCGAGAGCCACCCCAGATGTTCTCATGGCTCCCTGGCCCCCACTTAGGTCCTCGCGCAGACATCACCTCTCAGCCACCCTGTCACACTCTGCTTATTGGCCAGGATTTCCTTCCTCTGCCGCATGTGTGTGTGTAGTTCATGTTTGTCTACCCCAGGGGTGGGGAACCTTTTCTCTGCCAAGGGCATTTGGCTATCTATAACATCATTCATGGGCCATACAAAATTACCAACGTAAAAGTGAGCCTGCTCTGTAGGTCAGACATTAATTGGCTCTCCCGAATGCCGTGGAGGGCCAGCCTGCCCCTGGGTCTGCCCCTCAGAATGTACGCTCCAGGAGGGGACACGGTCACCTGTTCCCTGCTCCGTCCACATGAACACGAGGATGGAACCTGAAACCTGAGGAGACATTAGAACTGCTTATCTACATGTGAGGGATGAAGCTCACACATGAGGTTCTCCCAGGAGCTGGTGTGGAGCTGAGTATTCCCTGCGTGAGAAAGCGTTTGCTCAGGTGGTAGCACATGCATAACCTAACGTTTACCATTGTAATCCACTAGTAGCCCTGAGCACAAATCCGTGCGCCAGTAGGTCGCTGCTGCCCTCCTGTAGCTCCCCCTACCCACTCCCCCCTTCTCCCCCTCATAGCTTGCTGCCCTGCCCCCTCCTGTAGCTCTCCGCAGCATATTCCTCTCTTATTATGGATTAAACTGTACAACCCAGTGGCGTTAAGCACATTCACACTGCTGTGTAGCCATCACCACCGTCAGCTCAGAGCTTTTCATCACCCCAAACTGGAACTCTGTACCCATTAAACAACCACCACTTCTCATTCCCCTCCCCCAGCCCCTGCACAGCCACCCTACCTCCGTTGCTGTGGGTTTGACTCCTCTGGGGACCGCATGCAAGTGGAGTCAGGCAGCACTTGGCCTCTGGTGCCTGGCTTCCTTCACTCGGTATAACGTTTTCAAGGTTCATTCACGTTGTGCAATGCACCAGGTTTCATTTCTTTTTAAGACAATATTCCATTGTAAGTATAGACCACCTTTTGGTTATCTGTTATCTATCAATACATTTGTTCTGCCTTTTGGCTATTGTGCATAATACTTAATGAGCATGGGTATACATATATCTGTGGAGTTGGTGGATCATACGGTGAATCTATGTCAGCTTTTGGAGGAGCCATCATGCTGTTTGCCACAGTGGCTGCCTTGTTTTGCATTCCCACCAGCAATGTACAAGGTTCCGATTTCTCCACATCCTCACCAACACTTATTATTTTCTGTGTTTTTTTTTTTAGGGGGGAGGGATAGGCTAGCCATATTTTCTACCATTCCATGGATTGCCTTTTTACTCTGTGGATAATGTTCTTTTAATGCACAGAAGTTTTTAATTTTGATAAAGCTCAATTTATCTGTATTTTCTTGGGTTGCCTGTGCTTTTGATGTCACATCCGAGATACCATTGCCATAGCCAATGTCATAAAGCTTTCCCCTGTGTTTTCTTCTAAGAATTTCTATTGTTTTAGCTCTCCTGTTTAGGTCTCTGACCCATTTTGAGTTAACTTTTATATATGGCTAAGGTAATGGCCCAGCTTCATTCTGTTGCATGTGGCTGTCCTGTTTTCCTGTTGGAAAGACTGTCCTTTCTCTGGTGAATGGCCTTGGCCCTTGCTGCTTTGTGAAGGAGAGATCCTAGGTGTCCTGCTGGAGATGTTGGCAACTCCCTGGCCTAGTTTTTCTGAAGGACTAGGGCCGCCTGCTGGCCTGGCTGGGAAGTGGAGCTGCTGGCCTCTGCAGGGGCTGCTCCCTCCCTAGGCTGCCCCCACGCCTCTGGCAGCTTAGAAACTCATTCAGGCTTCAGAAACTCGTTTATTTCCGGAGAAGCCATATTCATGAGCATTGACGTTTAGAAAGAGAACCAAAGGAAGTGACACTCTTAGCACAAAGGGATTGCTAGTGAACAGGAGGGTTTCAGACAACATCAGCCCCAGTCCCAGATTCCCAGATGGGGCGTGTGTGTGTGTGTGTGTGTGTGTGTGTGTGTGTTACCTTCTGTCAATGAACCCTGCCTAGGAAGCAAGCCAAGCATCTCTCATTTCTGTACCAGGGAAGAAGATGTATGTGTGATTGCACAGTAGTTATAAATACATAGTTTTTGTTTCTTTTTTGTGCAAAAATCCCATTTCCCCCCTAAGGAGCACTGCTAGGAAAACCTAAAAGTGTGTTTAAAAAAAAGAATAAAATGTGGAGCCAGGATGACAGGGATGTGAACCTGAACCCTCCCATTTTCCATCTTGGTCTGATTCCTTGGCAATTCCAGCCTCAGTTCTGTGCCCGGGAGGGTGCTGGGCGGGTCTGACTCGCAGCCTGTGGAGTGTCCAGTCCGGGGAGCGCCACAGCGACGCAGAGAAGGCACTTCCCCCAGCGGCGATGCTTACTGCCCCCAAATGATGATCTGCAGAGATCAGGGGGACACAGCTGAGTCATGTTTGTCTTAAAGAAGGTTGTTACACTTCACTAAAAAATCCTAGCTAATATTCTTGTTTTGTTTCCCATTCTTCTAGAAAAGTAGAGATCTGGAATTGAGGGGAAGTGGAAACCCCTTTTTGGGGGTCAGGTTTTTTGGGCCCCCCCCCTGTCTAGCCGCTAGCCCATTCGGCTCTTTGGCCCCTTGAGTGTGGCTCTTCCACAAAATACCACGTGTGGGCACGCACGTACAGTGCGATTGAAACTTCGTGGCCCATGCACAGAAGTCGGTATTTTGTGGAAGAGCCACACTCAAGGGGCCAAAGAGCCGCATGTGGCTCGCGAGCCATGGTTTGCCGAGCCGCAGTTTGCCAACCACTGGCCTAGCTGATCGCTAAAACTCTCTTCCTGTCCAAGGTTGGGATCCAAAAGACCTAGAATCACCAGCAGTTGCCACAATCCCCTTTGGCATTTACAGCCAGAAGGCATGAGACTTTTAAAGTCTTGAGGGTCTTGAGGTGTAGCACCCGAGGGGCCTTTCTGTCAATGGGGGGTGGGGTGGGGGGCGGAGCCGAGCTGCCAAATCGTGACCCTCTAGTCTCAGGGTTTCGAACAACAGGGCAAGGTTGTCACCCAGGCAGCAAGCCAGGAGGGCTGGGCACATGCTTGGGGACCCAGACTGAACGTTGGTCCCTCTACCAAGACAAAGCATGCTCTGAGGGGCTCCCTGGTATAGAAGTGACTACAGTCAAGTAGCTGCCCCTCTCACAGTGGGGCCAGGATGTGCAACCCCACTGTGTGCGCAGGATGGGAGGATGGATGTGTGTAGAGAACAACACTAATGACACCCACACTTTTGTTGTGGGGAAACCACACTCCATGGGGAATAAGAGTGGCGATGGCATGACTCCCCCCTCTTTCTGTTGGGGCCCTTTCATGGAGTATCTTGCTCAAGGGGAATCACTTTATCAATAATGTGAACAGGTTTGTGACTCTCAGTATATCGTCCTAATTTAAGGGTTTTCCCAAGGGCCCTGCTGGGTTTCAGCCCTGCTTTGACCTCTTAGCAGCTGTATGGTCATAGGAAATTGCTTAATTTCTGTATAGGTAATTTCCCCACCTAAACATGAGATACTAATAATTTCTGGCTCTCGGTGCTGGAGCATGAGTGCGGATGCCTGCAGCCCCAGCCAGGCCAGCAGCCCTCCTCGCCGCTGTCGGGGAGCCGCTGGGAGGCGCGGGCTGCCCTGGAGGTTGGTCCTGGCTCATGTCTCCTTGATGTGCATTTTTCAAGGCAATAGTTAACTTTTTGTATTTCTTTGTGCATAAAATGTTTGTTCATCTCTTAGGTAGCTTCTTAGGTAGCTAGAAAGTTAGTGAGATAACGACAAAGCTCAGTTGTAGTTCATATCCTCTGTCGCCTGCCGTCTCCTCCATGTTTCTAGACACGAGTTGCCTGTGCCATTTCCCAGTTCTAGGGTGTTGATAGGATCATGATATTGAGATTACAGTTATCCCAACAACAACAAAAAATTAAAATCCAAACAAACAGACTCATTGAGTTAGTGTCCCCCAGGCAGCGTGCAAACATCTCTAGATTTTATACTCAGTTCTCAGCAGTTTTCTGAAATTAGACTTCAGCTACCAGTGACTCCCCGAGAAGTAAAGGGCTTTTCTGTATAAGAGATGGTGGCCCTCGGAGCACTTCCTGTATGAGGACATGTCCCCTGACCCAGGAGGCAGGCACATTGGCTCAAGGAGCCCAGAAACTGGCGGGTGTAGGCCGTGGTGGTGTTGCGATCAGGCTGGTGAAGGGCCTTCTGGGAAAAATTCAGAATATATCGTCATTTCGAATAACATTTATGATGTGGTGCTTGCTTTGTCCCCCCAAGGATTCAAAAGGATCAGGGATCAAAGTATCACCATACGACTAAAAAATGCAGAATTTAATAGGACTAGGGAAATTGTTCCTAATTTCTTTTAGATTTACGTTTATTTTGCCTTGCCATTCATTACCTTTTCCCCTTTTAAATCAGAAATGCCTCGTACTGTGACCAGATGGCCCTGGACCTCAGGGTGCTAGAGAACACAGACGCTTCGCTGCCCGCTGTCTCCTACCCGCAGGTGCTCACCGTCGCGGCCTCGGGCTCCTTAGTCTGCCCTGAACTGAGTGAATTCGCCAAGAACAAAACTGACCTGAAGATTCAGTGGTACAAGGTACCTTTCCAACAAGTGGTGTTGAATTACTGTGCACTTTACTGCCACGAGAAAGAGATAAAAGGCCTTAATTATAAAGGACCATGGTCAATATGCTCTATTGATCCCTCTGTGGCTCATTCTCGAGTGATGATTTGAGGATATGAAATGAATCCCATGTAAATAACAGCTGAAAAAGACATCTTTCACTCTATTTGTCTGTTAAAATTCAGAAAACAATTGTTGGTTCATTTAACAACTTATGCACAACTTTTGGTGAAAGGAGTAAGTACAAACACACCTCCTTCTCTTGCCTGGCCGAATAAATATTACCATCAGCTCGTAGTAGGTGGGCCTGGCACGGGCAACGCAGCCGCAGGCCACACGGAGGCGCCACCTGTTTCTGCAAGAGAGGCTAGTCCTCACGTTTTTAAACGGCTAAAAAATGTAAAAGAATCGCACTCTCTTATGACATGTGAGTAACAGGACTCCAGCTCTCGTGCCTCGGTAGCGCTGTACCAGGCCCGGCCACCGTTCCTGTTGCAATGGGAGAGCTGGGTATGGTCCAAGGCCATGCACACTGTGGGCCGCACACACTATCTGGCCCTTCACATAAACAGTACTGATACAGACTGTAGACTGATATTGGAAAGTACAGTTACTTGTTTAATCGTGGACAGAAATTGGCCCTTTAATCAAGAATTAGGTCCATTTAAAAATGTATGTGGAAGTGAGACAAGTATATATTACACGATGTACTCACATGTTTACTGAAGCACTGCTTATAAGAAGATACTGGAAACAAGAAAATGCTCACCATGAGGGACTGGTTAAACTAATTTCATCTCATAGGAACAGTGGACTATCATAAGTATTTACAAAACATAGAAGAAAAAATACAATACTGCTATAGTTTAAAGGCTTTAAATGACATGTTATATTTCCTAGTTATGTAAAAATATGGTTTAATATATTTAAAAATATGGAGGAATATACATTGAAACAACAATGATGTTTTGAGGATAAAGTATTCACTTTCTATTTTTATAAGTCAGTGTTACATTACGTTTTTATGTTGTACTGCTTTGCTAATTGCAAAGGCATTAAAGGTATTTCCAGAGGGCAAGAGAAAAAGAAGTTAGGGACTTTCATTTATGAAATACACGTGTTACTCCTCAATCTATTGAAACCTAATTTTCTAGTATAATCTCAATCAACATTATCTATAATTTTGTCATAATTATTAAAATGTGGCTTTTTAGAAAAAAAATGGGTTAGCCAGTTGACTGGTATTACAACTTCAAGATATATGTATATTATATCAGTGAATGCTGCAAACGTAAATGATGTTCTGGAAGTAGAAGGAAGTAGCAGCCCCTATGAAATCGGCACCCAATTAGGGACTGGATTCTTTCCTGGTTTAGGAAGAGTCAACAGGACGGGTAAGAGGCCGTGCCTGCATAGGAAAGAGCACGGGCCGGGTGTCCCCGCTCCGGGTTAGAGCCCTGTGTGTTTCCATTTGGCTGTTGTGGGGCCGTGGCCGACTGATTTCACCTGACACCTGCTCCCTCTGCGAAGCGGCCACGGGCCCGCGGCGGAGCACCGTGCATGAGGCCCTCGCGTGGGCTGACAGACGCATGGAGCCCAACAGCGGTCGGACGGGATGTCCCGGGTGCTCAG